CTTCCTGCAAGGGCACCAGTGTAACATCGACCTAAAATCTGGAGTTTTACTATGTGGAACTGAGGAAATTCCGATGAAGGGTGGAACCCTGGGAAAAGTTTGCTGTTTAAGAAGAACTGTTCTTGCACCAAAATCACAGACTCTCGTACCAATCGCATTACCTAGGAGGAAGGAAGGAAGTTTACCTCGAAGGTGCGCTGTGATTGATAAATCGGAACACGTAAGCTCATGGCTACCGGCAAGAACTGTCGTGGGGTCATCTGATGTCAACTGCATTCCAGTATTCAACTTCAGTGATTCAAAAATTACGATTGAAGAAGGAGAGCCTGTGGGCGTATTGGAAGAAGTGGCCTGGATAAGAAAATGCTCGGAGAATCTTGTGAAGAAGGACAGTACGGGAATAGACTTTGTAACGAAAATCTTAGACGAAAACAAAAGTCTGACAAAAGTGGAGACTATGAAAGCTAGAAATTTACTTCTTCGATTTTCTGATGTGTTTTCAAGAAGCGATGGTGATATTGGCCGAACTGGTTTGGTGAAGCATAAAATAAACACAGGTGATACAATGCCAATTCGTCAAAGGCCCAGACGCATACCATTCGCTCGTGAGAAAGAGGTTGAAGAAATGATTGACGATATGAGGAAAAATGACGTGATAGAGCCCTCTTCTAGCCCTTGGTGTTCACCTGTCGTGCTTGTCAAGAAGAAAGATGGTTCAACGAGGTTTTGCGTAGACTATCGACGATTGAATGATGTAACCAAGAAGGATAGCTACCCGTTACCAAGAATCGATGACACACTTGACACACTGAGTGGCATGAAATGGTTTTCAACGCTCGATCTGAAAAGCGGCTATTGGCAGGTGGATTTGGATCCCAAGGACAAGGAAAAGACCGCATTCTCAACTGGGAAGGGACTCTGGCAATTTAAGGTGATGCCATTTGGATTATGCAATGCACCGGCAACCTTTGAGCGTTTGATGGAACAGGTGCTGGCGGGACTGCTGGGCGAAACCTGCCTAGTTTACCTCGATGACATCATCATTGTTGGACGGGATTTTGACGATCATCTAAGGAAATTGGAAAAGGTACTCGATAAGCTGCGTGGAGCAAATTTAAAGTTGAGTCCAAAGAAATGCTCTTTCTTCAAGCGCGAAGTGAATTATCTAGGACATGTTATTTCTGAGAGAGGAATTGAGACTGATCCAGCCAAGACTGCCGCTGTTAAGGAATGGCCAACACCTAAAGACAAAACGCAAGTTCGGGCATTTCTTGGATTGTGCTCGTATTATCGGCGGTTTGTGAAAGGATTCTCGGACATTGCCAAGCCTTTGCATCGATTGACAGAGGAGAAACGTGCCTTTATCTGGGACGAGGATTGTGAGCAAGCCTTTCGAGAACTAAAAGAACGGCTTTGTAACACACCAATTCTCGGATACCCCAGCGCGAAAGGAATATTCGTAGTTGATACGGATGCCAGCAATATTGGAATAGGAGGTGTCCTTTCACAACGCGATGGTGAGCAGGAGAAGGTTATTGCTTACTTCAGCAAGTCACTATCCAAGCCGGAGAAGAATTATTGCGTGACCAGGAGGGAATTGCTGGCCGTAGTCAAAACTCTGCACCATTTCAAGAAGTATTTACTGGGACGGAAATTTTTGATCAGAACTGATCACGCTGCTTTGAAATGGCTGCTTCAGTTTAAGGATCCCGAAGGCCAAGTAGCCAGATGGTTGGAACAACTTCAGGAATTTGACTTTGAAATCGAACATCGCGGCGGAAGAATTCATGGCAACGCAGATGCATTATCGAGACGCCCATGCGTGGAAGATTGCAAGCATTGTGCCAAGAAGGAAATTGCTTTTCTTAAGGTGATAAGGACTGATACTGTTGACGAGGCATGGGGAGATGATGCGATGAAATTAGAACAGGAAAGAGATGCGGATATCAAACCAATACTGGAGTGGCTACGAAGTGGTAACAAGCCAAGTTGGAGTGACGTCGCCCAATATAGCGCGGTAACGAAAGGTTTATGGGCACAGTGGAAAAGCCTTACGCTGCATAACGGACTTCTGTGCAGGAAATGGGAATCAACAAACGGCAAGGACGAGCATTTGCAATTGGTGGTGCCTCGTACAAAAATAAGGGATGTATTAAAAGCGTTCCATGATGGATCTTCTGGAGGACATTTGGGAATTAGGAGGACTTTGGTGAAGATCAAGGAGAGGTTTTATTGGTTGCATTGCAAATATGACGTCGAAGATTGGTGCCGGAAATGCACTAGTTGTGCAGCTGTCAAGGGTCCACAAACAAGAAGCAGGGGGGCGATGAAAATCTACAATGTTGGTATGCCTTGGGAGAGAATAGCCTTAGACATCGCTGGACCATTTCCAATCACTGATTCGGGCAATCGCTACGTTTTAGTGGTTATGGATTATTTTACAAAATGGCCGGAGGTCTTTGCCATACCGAATCAAGAGGCAGTAACTGTAGCCACGAAGTTGGTAAACGAGGTATTCACCCGATTCGGAGTGCCCTTGGAGATGCACAGTGATCAAGGACGGAACTTTGAATCCCAAGTTTTCCAGGAAACTTGTAAACTTTTGGGAATCCATAAGACTCGAACGACCCCTTATCATCCACAGTCAGATGGAATGGTCGAACGCTTCAACCAAACATTGGAGCGACACTTAGCAAAGGTGGTTGACAGCCATCAGAGAGATTGGGACACTTACATACCTCTCTTCTTGCTTGCCTATCGGACTGCTGTACATGAAAGTACCGCAAAGACGCCTGCATTTGCAAATTTTGGAAGGGAATTGAGATTACCGGCAGATCTTGTATCGGGCTGTCCACCTGGTGACTCTCGCACCGAGTTTAGCGATTACATAAGCGAGTTAAGGGCAAAAATGTTGGACATTTATGAGCAGATCAGGGAGGCCGGTCTTCAGGCTAGTGATCGCGCAAAGACGCGCTATGATCGACGAGCCAATTCTGTTGGGTTTGAAGAGGGGTCATTGGTCTGGCTTCATAATCCAGTCAGAAGGAAGGGAAAATCTCCAAAGCTGCAACCGAGTTGGGAAGGTCCTTACGAGATAGTCACGAAGATCAATGACATTACTTACAGAATTCGGAAGTCTTCAAGGAGCCCTTTGAAAGTTGTCCATATAGACAGGTTGGCGAGGTATTACGGCAGCAACGATGCTCGGGACGAGCGAATCTAAGAGGGGGGCAGTGTGACAGAAAACTCTTTGACATCATGACGTCAATGGATGGTTGTCAAACGTTGCCTAGAGATTGTAAATTTCGTCGTGAATTGTCAACACGAGTTGGTGTAATCGGTAAGGCGTGTGGATTACACCACAGAGACCCCGAGTTCGAGTCTCGCCGTAAACATGAAGTTTTTTAGTTGATAGAAGTTTTGTCGAACTTTCTGGAATATTTGAGTGAAAGTAATGAAAAATTAAGGAGCGAGAAGGAGAATAAATAAAAATGAATAACGAAATTATTGGAAGGTTCTGGAGGCATGACGATCAAAAAGAATAACGAAATTGAATGTTCTAGAACCTGACCGGGGGTATATAAGCGGAACTGCGGCTCACCGCTGGCAGTTGAGTTCTAAGTCCAAAGCGATTCGGAAGAAAAGGAAGAAGTGAAAAGAAGAAAAGTGAGTGAAATAGTGAAGTACAGTGAAATAGTGAAGTGCAGTCAGTTAAGTGAGTTAAGTCAGCGTGAACAGTGAACGGCAAAGTTGTGTCAGTCGGCCGGACTCTGCTGGAGAGGAACGCCAATAACTTATCCGTATCCGTGGACGCTGTCACTTAAGTGCAATAGAAAGTCTGAAAACCGGTATTAGTGTTTAATTTCATCCAATCCCGTAACCCAAGCCCGCATAGTTAGGAACGTGACGTCAGGCACGTAACAATATAAATCATTTACAATCTACAGCTTTCCATCATCAAACTTTAGGTTCATTAGAAAATAGCCATAAACACTTAACTTTTTATTTGAGAATGCAAGTTAATAGTCAAACACAGGAATGGAGTTCATGGGTATCCTACTGGTGTTTCTCATATAACACTTCAGTACATTCGAGTACAAAATTTACGCCATATGAATTAGTATTCGGGAAACAATGTAACATACCTTCCAACCTCACTACTACAATAGATCCGATTTATAATTTTGATAACTATGCTGTTGAATTAAAATATCGTATACAAAAGTCTCAAATGGATGCTAAAACCAATCTTATTAATTCTAAAATTATTAGAAAAAGTAAATATGATAGCAGTATAAATCCAATAACGTATAAAACTGGTGATTTAATATTGGTTAAAAATGAGAACAGTAACAAACTTGATCCATTATATTTAGGTCCATTTTCAGTAGTTAAGGACATATCTCCAAATGTTGTTATCTTAGTTAAGGGAAAGGAAAAAACTGTTCATAAAAATAGAACTAGACTGTATTATGAATAAGATTATATTCCTGTAACACTTTTGTTTGTAATTGTACGATATCAAATGAAGACTTGTACCGATGTCATTGTTTATTGTTTAGATTGTAAAGTGTACTGAAATAGATATTGGATACTAACTTACAATTAACTAATTATTATACAATGAAAAATGTATAAAAGCTGAATCTACACAATTGAATGAATTATGTTTAAATTTAAAAAAAAAAAAAAAAAAAAAAAAAAAAAAAAAAAAAAAAAAAATGTTTTTATAGTTTACATTTTTTTTTTTCCTTTTTTGAGAGGGCGTGTGACGTAGTAAGTAATCATTAGTCTATAAGAATATAACATTGTATCTTTTAGGTAGAGAGGCATTAATAAACGTAACGTGTAACCAACAACATCTTGTTTGATTCTCCTAAGTCCCGTCCTTACACTACAATGTTCCTGAGTGCTATAGGCCAACATCACGCTACCATCAAGATTCACGCTACTATTATGATAAGCAGACAAGAAGATAATCCATTTTCATTTTATTACAGATAAACCCAACATTTGTGCAGCACAAAATGGTGGATCTTTGCAAGCAAATGTCGGTGATACCAGTTGCATACACACCTCTAGGTCTCATATCTGAAGCTCGACCGGAGTTCATTGGCAAGGATGTAATCAAAACTGATCCTGGACTTGGTGCACTAGCTCAGAAATACGAAAAGACACGCGCCCAAATTGCTTTGAGATATTTGGTAAGTAGTAGGTATAATTAAAATCATATTGTTTTAAAATTTTGCTGTGTCTAAGGATCATTGGATCTTCTTTGTAGTAGTGTAACTTCGTACAAATAAACTGATGGAAAAATGGGTATCTTAAAGCTGTAATGTGTCCATTAGGGTATAAATGTTTATGATTTTTTTGACGAAATTTTGATAGGTACCTAATTTTGAAATCACGTTTGGCACAATGGCTGCGCACGTGTCGAGAATTATATCCTTACCTCTTTCTTTAATACACACATTGTGGTTCCGGGTCTGATATGAATGTAAAGTTATATGTTAGTAGATGCACCCACGACACATCATATCAATCCTAGTATAAGGGAACCGCTTTTTTAAATCAAAAATGTTTTTGTCCTGTGCCATAGTATTTCGTCTTTCAATGGTGTTTCTTAATTTCAGATACAACGCGGGATTCCAGTTATACCGAAGTCTTTCACAAAATCTAGAATTGAAGAAAACTTAAACATATTTGATTTCGAATTAACAACAGGCGAGATGGCTTTGGTAGAGAATTTCAATATCAATCATAGATGTGTCCCGGCCAATGGCTTCAAGGGACTGAAGAATTATCCATTTTAATATGAATGTAATGGTTTTGTAGAGACCAGTGTATAGTTTTAAGTTTTATTATGGGGTTTCTTTTAGCTAATAAGCAGGGTTTTTATGCAGTGCTGGTTCTATTAAAATGTTTGAGAGAATTAGAAAAGGCGCCCATCTAAAAAATATTGGATTGGGTCTTTTGTTTCATGATTAGGTACTTTTTGGTGCTCCTAACGCGATGACGCCCACACTCTCATCTCCCTAGGACTGGCCCGGTTTTTTATGTAATTAAAAGGTCTGGTAAATAGGATGTGATATTAAATATAAGAAGTATAGCTTCCTTTTTAATACTCAACATAGTTGATGTAAGTAGAAAAATGAATGTAAAAATTTTTACGTATTGAATATATGTATATTTTGTTATGGATTTGTGAGTTTTATTGTATTTCCTACTTTTATTACTAGACTAGATACTCCCGCGCTGTTTCTCCCGCTGCTCGACTCTTATTTAATCGTAGCGTGATGTTTTATAGCCTATAGCGCTCAGGAAAATTGTAGCTATCTATTAGTTAAGCTGCACGGTTGGCGCGGTGGCTGGACAACTGGCTGCCGTGCAACGTGTCGCGGGTTCGATTCCCGCACGGAACAACTCTTTGTGTGATCCACAAATTGTTGTTCCGGGTCTGGGTGTGATGTGTATGTGAATTTGTATGTTTGTAAACGCACCCACAACACAGGAGAAAATCCTAGTGCGGGGTAAGGTTTTTTTTTTTAAAAAAAATACAAGAATTTTGCAAATCCGACCAGCGCGGTTCCAAAAATTACCCCCTACATACAAATACAAATTTTACCTCTTTATATTATTAGTACAGATAAGTAAATAATACACATAGATCAAATTGTCTGACAATTTTATTAAATGAAAATATAATAAATAAACATGTCAACATCGATAAAAACTGAAATGATACAAAATAATTAACAAACTCATACTTTTGCGTCAATGTGAAAGTTCTGGAATGACTTCTTAAGATGTTTGAGGGTTTGCTGATTGAAGTAGGCCTTCGACCTTAAGGTCTAGTTCTACAGTGACCTCTCAATACTTAAAAAGTTTAAAGTGAAATGCATATTTGGAACATAAAAGTTTGTAAACCCGTTAATTTGCCCGAGAACTAAAATATTCGGGAGCAGTTTGTAACCAGATGTGGTTGGTGAGATTAGGACAAGATGTCAAGTTGATAGAAATTATTCAAGTTATGGGGCGACATTTCATACTTATGCTTATTTCGCACACATGGTCGTAAACCGTCAATAAATTATACACAATTTTAAACCATATAGCAACAAAAAGCGAAAATACAGAAAATTCATATAAACACCGACATAATCAGATATAAAAATATAGTAGAAAATCTACTCTGTATATGAAATAACAATTTATAAAAACATTTTGCTTCTAATTCGTAATAACAACGAAAGAATCGGCTATTAATTATAAAACATAAGTTAAATTACGAAATGCTAATAAAAATATAAAAAAAATAAACAAATAAATATGATACAGCCACAAAACCCGGTAAATGTAATCACTTATACATATTCATAGTCCCGCTCTGAAATATTCTAACGGAATAAAAATATGAAATAAATTGTTATTAAAAATAAATAAACAAAACCCTGGTTTTTTAACAGACTACACTACGATTTAATACACCCCTAAAGGGGGGAAAGCGTCAATATGTAGTGTAAGTAATGACAGTAAAGAGACTTTTTGATATTAATTAACGTGAGGCATACTAGCTTTAGTAGTTTTAAGTCACAATGGGACTCATTCTTCTCATTCTTATTCATGGGCAGTAAAAGAACTTTTCTCTGTTCAACCACGTGGGAAAGTCATTACTTTCAATAAATTTAGCTAAGCTTATTAGGTACTTCTTCATTGAAGAATATTTATACCTACTTAGAATGAGTATGTAGCATTGTTAATATAAAAGAGTATTTTTCCATCAATAAGGCACACATTTCGACTTAGAAGTTTCCCGATATTACGTAAGTCGTTACAGTTTTGTCGAATCTTACGATCATTCAAAAACCTTAACAAAGTTATTTCTTAAACTTTATATCGCTTTTGGGCAACAAACAAAATGTACTAGGAATTAAGTTGTTTGTTATTGTAACATTTTCTTCTTTTTTGATGGAAAATAGTCTTAAAAAGTCTCACATTTTACTATTACCACTTACACATACATCATCAAAGTACCGCAACACATTCTAGCCAATTCAACAAGGGCTAATTCTGCCCGACCCTGGAATACTATCCAGGATCAAAAAAGCTGCGCTTGCGATCGTTAACTGATAAAAAGTAACAACCCGAAAACAATAGCTTACATTATGTAAGTAAAAAAATGTATTTTTTTTTGTGTGAGTCATAGATAAGTCTTTATAAAAAAAAAAATGTATTGTAAAACAAAACTCATAGCTTATGGTATTAGGACTACATTTCGATAGTTTTTTTTAATAAATAAAACAATTTTGAAGACTAGAACTTAATGCTAAGCAACAAAGTTTTTATACCTATCTTATGTTGTTAAAAATGCACTTAACACCAAATAAATAAAGTAGAAAATAAATTGTACATCTGTTGAGAACTAAGCAATATTGAATACAGAAAAAAATATATACTTAAAGTATTCTTTAATCTATGACGACATAGTAAGACACCTAAAAGCAAAGAGTTACACTTATAATAATTACAATTTGTTCGCAAGCACAGCTTTATAATATTTGTACATCTACAATAAAAACGAGTCTATATATCAATTTGAATAAATCTACTTATGTGACGGTAGATAATATACAGAAGTACCTTACATAAATGTATAGAACACAAGCTATACCACATACATTTCAACCTTAAACTATTGTACTAAAGTTGAAAATCTTTTGAGGAAATAAGTGTAGTTAAATATGCCTTCTAAAAATGCATTCTTTACGTAATTCATGGCTATTTATAACTCCATTAGCTAATATAAAAGCTATTGTTTCTCGTTGTTCAAGTTCATTATAATTAATCACACTCATTTAAATGCGAGGTCCACGTGATTTGTACATAAAAATAACAATAATAAAAACTGCTTACTTTGGCATTATCATCGTAAAATATAACTAAGAAATATGTCTACCGTCACATAACCTAAGAAGGCCTATTAAGTCGTGAGGATTACGTAATAAAAATAATTTTCAATTGCAATAATCTAAGGAGATATGTCACAATTTTTAAAAATACGCAGACTATAAAATCTGCCCTAATATCTTTAACAGATTTAAAACTTTACTAAAAAGTTACAAGGTCCAAAATCTATTAAAGTATACTTTCATATGCGTCTATACGTCACTAGTGTAATTCTCACGACTTAACAGACAGAGATATAGATGCAAGAAGAGGAGAGATAGCTCCAACACTACTTCCAAACGTAGTTGAAAAGATCCATAATGGAATCGTATATTGTGAAGGTAATAGCTACGTCAAATACTACGCGACTTAACCTCGGTACTGTGCCCTTGTAGAATGCGAATGGACCCTCAGACTTCCAAGTTTTGATGAAGCAGTCCCAAGTGTTCTTGTACTTGGCCGCTTCGAGACCTTGCATTCGGGTTTTGACCACGTCGATTGGCGTGTTTCCGAATACTGATGCCGCTCCTGGAAGAAAAAGTAAATGTTTAGGAATAATAATATTTTTTTTATTAATTTTAGAGTTATATTTGTTTCAGAGGAATTTGATTCTTTCTTATTGTTAAGGTCTTAAAAATATTAGTGCTTTATTCTAAGTTTTTTTTTTAAGTTACTGTAGTCGTTCTTGAAGTAATTTACTGAAGATCTCTTTGGTCATTAGTTTGATCATTCACACACATCACACATCATCAGCTTATAAGTTAAAGGACCAAAAAAGGAATTTCTTGATAATCTACATATACTCGTATACCAGTTGATAATAATCCAAACAGGTCAGATACAAAGACATATGTAATGCTCTCTCACCTGCGATACCACCAAACAAGGCGACGATGTACTTAGGTACAGGCTTGTCTCTGTCTCCACCTTTGTACCAGTCCCTCAAGGATTCCATTACGAAGAACCTGATGGCCTGGTTACTTCCCTGCTTCATTACTGTAGCTGTCACACCTTTGTATAGGCCTCCAACACCTGAGAAGCAGTTAACAGATTTAGTTTCAGCCAGAGAACTTCAATCCAAAAATGCAAAAAATATTTTGTAATTTTTTGCCTTGCATAAACATGAGAAGGCTTATGAATCAAAATTCGTCTACCTACTACTATAAAACAGTTTATGGAAATGACCTTACATAAACGCGGCTAGTCCAAGTTCTCTAGAGGCGCCATCTACTAAAGTTGAATTTGACGGAAGAATTTAAAAGAAATAAGAAAACCTGTTGTAGTAATTATTATGACGTAATTAATCAATAAGTAAGTAATGCATTTACAACGCTTACGTTTTATCATTGCAAAGTCATTTAAATACAATTGTATCAGCGTATTAATAAGCCAATTTCGATTACAGAGATTTTTTATTATTATATTTAATAACAATATTTTTGTAGTTAAGTTTGTTATTCTAGCTAGATTATAATCTACTTCTGAGCTAACATTTATTCAGTCGGTCCTGAACTGGCTAAATAACAAGCTTTTATGACATTAGTAGGATAAAAGAACAGCCAAGAAAAATTGTCTAATATTACAATCATGTGAAAATTTATCGCTTGATATCCCGGTAATAAGCCGAATCTACTGACAGAACCTAGTAAATAGAAATGCAACGTATGATACGTACCATCTTCCCTAACAATAGTCCTGACTCCGTGGAAGAATCCCCTGAACCTTGGCTTCTCCAGCCTCAAGTCATTAATGAACTTGACCTTCACAGTCTCCATAGGCGTTACTGCGAATATGGCTTCGGACACTCCAGCGGCCAGACCGCAAGCCAATTTACCAGTTGTCGATAAAGTTCCATCTTCCATCACCATATACAACCTTGCTTGTTCGAACACACCGAATCTGGAAAAATATATAATTTTAGGGGTCTATTAAAGGTCTTTAAGGTTCATTGTTGTATGAACTAGCTTGTTGAAATAGCATTGTCCTTATATGGCCTGCAGTTATTTTGTGTTGCACGTACTTTGTGGTCTTATACAAATTGCGTCCGCTTGCCATCAGGTAGCCTACAGAGTTTTTGCTAGCTACAGTTAGAGTACATAAAAACTACAAAGAGTAAAATGTTCATATTTCCGTGCAGGTGTGATGTAAGAAAATATATTGTAATTTTACTGACGTTAAGCAATTTGATATATCGACATTTCTCAAGATTCCTGCCTATTGGATAGAAAACATGGAGAACCAATAAAAACAAAACATATACTGTGGCTGATTTTTCAATAGCCAGATAAATGTTACCTGTAGAATAAAATTATTGTGGTGACTGTCTTATACAAACATTCCGATATGACAGCATCATAATTGTTCCCCATGTAACTTTTATCTAACCATTGAAAAATAAGCAGATACTGCAATCTTTATGTACTTATATGTTATTTGAAAGACGGCATGTTCTCATTTCGATCAAAAGAAAATTGCTAACCGTACAAAAACTATTTCAATTATTGGTTTTAGAAACCCTATTGGTTGATGAAAGCAGGGAAGTGATTGAGGTCATCGAGTTCCTTAAAATAGGGTTGCTTTATTATGCTGGGAGGCGAGAAATGTAGGTCGAGTGGGGACCAGTGACAGTGCTACACAAATACAACAGTAAACACTGGAAATGGAATGTTCATTTGACAGGCTTTACTATAATAAAACTGAGTTTGTTTGGACGGTCTAATCTCCGGAATTACTAGTTTGAATTGAAACAATTCTTTTAGTGTGGATTAGACCATTTTTCGAGGAAGACTAGAGTCACGGTACGATCAATAGTAATCAAGTAGCGGGTGATACATCGTGATAGTAACCAGTGTTTTATAATATTCTACGACCTTGATTAGAACCGGTTAGTATTTAGCACAGTGACTTGTATTAACAAACAAACCAATTTACATAATATTGTGTTGTAGAGACACTGGTGGCGCGTCTCGTCTAATTATATCTAACGTGAACCACTTCACCAAATATTACGTAGCTTAGGAATATTTTTTCCATTCAAACCGGTTTTCATTAGAGCGTAGATTGAACCGTAAACTCTTTCCGCATTTTTATTGCTGCTTTATGGTTATAGTTCTTCCGATGTATGCATGCCTGGTACTTTTGTAGAAAGTTTTTAACGCGTCACGTTATCTTTTTTATCCAATAAAAACAATTAAATTCCTCTGTCTATTTGATAAAAGTGCATTACATGGTGGTCGTATAAATATGCAATTAAATATTTTTTATTTTTTGTGAGGAGAAAATCATTAAATGACTTCTGTCGCCCAGGGTAATGCGAGAGGTAGTGTCAGGCTCTTACTGACTAAAAACTCTCTCTTTCCATCTTCTGCCCCAGGCCGAGGTCCCGGTTGAGCATTAGCCCTGTTGGGCCCCGTGCCGTCTATACCACCAGATGGGGCTGTTGGCTTTTTGAGGCGCAAAGTAAAATATTTGGAGTAAAAAATATACCAAAGAGTAAAATCGAGTCCTTTTAAATACAAAGACATGATGAAATCTTGGTTGATAAAACGAATAATTGTGAAGATAAGAGAAGATAATTCTACAAGTTTGTAAGCTATTCGTGAAAACTATCATCATAACGTATAAGTAACGCAATGCCCTGTATGTCATTGAGTTTGTTTATGCAACCTTCGGCTAAGTGACACAATGAACTGTTGTTATCAGTCATTAATGCTCCACTTTGCGGTAACGTGAGATATACGTAGACATACCTACGTGTCGACTATATACTTGGATAGATTAAAGTAATACGAGAATCGAGTACAGCTTACTACTGTGCAGTTATGTAATCCTGGTACTTGTATATTTTAAGTTTAACAAATGATTGGAATTTCGTTTTTTGGAAAGGTTTTGTTAAAATAATGGCACATACATTTTATTCAAAAGATAATTTATGATTCAATATACGCTCATTGTTTTTTAAACCTTTGATAAGTGAAGTGGGATCTTTCAATGTAATTTTGAAGCTGATATTTTCAATCTGTTGAGTCGAAATTTTATTCACACGTTAAGTTTGTATGACCACAATAATGCTGTGTTATTGTACCTTAGTTCCGCTTATAAACCGACCACTTTCCTATTTCTTCCGAGAGAAAGTGTGGGAGAGCCATGCTTCGGCACGAATGGGTCGGTTCAACCGGAGTGATACCACGGCCTCACAGAAAACCGGCGTGAAATAACCACAGCGTTGTGTTTCGCCGTGTGAGTGAGGTTACCGGAGGCCCAATCCTTCGCCTCCCCCAATCCCTTGTCAATCCCTAAATCTCCAAATTCCTAATCCCTAAAAGGTCGGCAACGCACTCGTAACTCCTCCGTTGTGGGTGTCCATGGGCGGCGCTGATTGCTTACCATCAGGTAATCCGTCGGCTCGTTTGCCGGCCTATAACATAAAAAAAGAGAAGTAATTTAGAGAATGAGAAACTAATCTTTATTTTATTTATTATTATTAGAAAACCCAAAACTAATTTCGTTCATGACGAACGATTTCGCAAATACATCTTTACTCCGGAAGTATTTATCTATCACGTGTGAGTATAAATAAATACGGAGTAAGTAGCAATGTCAACGAAAGGTCAAGGTGATTAATAATGTTAATATCAGGGGCTATTTGATATCTAGTCACCGCGTAGGCAAGGCAATTGCTGCAAATAGTCTATCTAGATAATATAGCACTATCGAACTACAATATATTTTTTGTATTAAATTAATAGACCCCTTTACATAGAAACCTTTTATCTAAAAAAATACTCGAAATTTGAGAATTTATGTGTTCGATGAAAGACCAGACAGAAATTAATAGAGAAGATTAAGTGTAGAAGAATCGTGTAGTATCCAACTATTCTATTATTTTTTATGGAATTGCAACATGATGTTATTATTCTTACGTAAAAGTAGGTATATTTAGTTTCTAAATAAATTTTCTATACTTAGTAAAAATTTAAAATAAGGTGTACCTAAGACCTTATTTTAAATTTTTCAAATTAATGAATAACAGATTGATTACATTTTATTAATTTCTTCATTTTTGACGTAGGGATTTCTCAATTACGTAAACTAGAAGCATAAACATAGTGAAAACTAGCTTTTCGCTTGTAGTTTTTTCTAATTCATTAAAAGTATTCGTACGAATATTGGGATGAAAGAAACCAAGTCACGTTACTCCCAAAATTAAACTTGCAAATATAAAGTGGTTATGGTTTCTATGCATTACAAAATAACTAAAACCTTTAACCTAACCTCTTTGTAATGTTTTTAAAGATTTTTTCTTTACATGGAAACAATTGGTGATGAAGCATATTCTAATCAGTATAAAAACATGCCAGCATTGGCCATTCTTTCTGTCGGCGCTATTATGGCTATATCAGATAAAAATAGCGACATTTTGATAGGAAAACAAAGGTACACGACAAGTATCAATATAATTCATCATTTTGTTATCAGTGCATTAAGGCTTGGGGGGATCTGTGCTGTAGGAGATGCGTTGAATACAGTGATGATTTTTTGAGAAAAACTGTACTTTGTTCACCCAATTGAAAAAAAAAAAATATTTTTCATTTTATTATTAATTATTGTTTGTGTCACTACGAAATATTTAGTGCATATTGTGACACCTTAAACTGTAACTGTACATTTAATTTTATTATAGTGTATTTAATGTTTAGATGTAAGAAATAATTTACCAGGTACTGGTTGTCCATAATTCAATAAATAAATAAATTGGCTTATTCAACATTTTTTCAACTTCCTTTTTCGAGTGGTGAACATTATCAAATGGCTTCTCCTGCCCTGGGTGAGGCCAGAGGGAGTGTCAGTGTTCCTACTTTAAGCCAAGGCACCGAGAGATGATCTCCGGCCACCGTAAGCGCGGGTCTGCGGACGGCGAGTAAGGGTAGCTCGCCGCCCGACCAGAACCGGACCCGAGCGTACGGCGCGTAGCGTTCCACGCGCGCCTCAAAGAGCCAATAGACCACCACAGTCGGGGCCCTAAAGGGCTGATGTTTAGCCGGGGCTGCGGGGTAAGCGCAATGAGGCACCGCGACCTCGGCCCAGAGCAGGGGAAGGAACGGGGCGTTCATAGTCAGTAAGAGTCTGACACTCTCTCTCGCCTTACCCTGGGCGGGAGAAGTCATTGGATGATTTTCCCCTGACAAAAAAAAAAGCCAAGACACAATACATTCGTTTTGTTATTTTTTTTCATTTGTTTTTGTTAATTTTTAAGTGTGTTATGAGTGTCGGAAAGACCACGAACCAGCCATCCCCCCACCCGTTTCTTCTCCTGCTTTAGGCCGAGGCCACGGTGCCATATTGCGCTTATCCCGTAACACCTGCTGAACATCAGCCCTAATAGACTGTGGTGGTCTATTGGCGCGGAACGCAATGCGCCGTAGTACGCGATGGTGACGAGCTACCTTTACTACTCGCCGCCCACAGACCCGCGTCTGCGGAGGCCGGCGAGCATCAGGAGTGTTGCCTACTGCGGCGGCTGGGGCGTAAGGGGGCTTTAGCATAGAGAGAAACTATATAGCCCACTACTTATCTGCCACACCCCAAGCTATAATATTATTATGTATTGTGTTTATTATTCGATGTTAACGCCAATACGAAATTATGACATTTAATTAACGTTCCGCCCATCCCAGTGACGTGCTTAGACTTAATGACAGTTGACAACACAGATGCTATTTATTAATGTAACTATACTTAATAGTATTTTAATAACTAATTTTCATTTTGAGTGTTATTTATATTTTGCGTAATAATATTATGCAATGTTTAAATGTAATAGTTATCAAACTAGTTTTACATGATACTGACGGCTCTCATGAATATTGATAGCTATGGCGCCAACTTCTGCTCTACAGCTGCTGGTACAACCATACAATGAATCAAGGCTGTAATGAATCTGAAGATTTTATATTGAGAATAGTTATCATTTCCGCATTAGCACAGAAAACGAGTATAGGGATTGACTGTAAATAATCGGCGCTGCTTATGGACACCCGCAACGCCAGTGAAGTTAAGAGTGCGTTGCCGACCTATTCCGGCTAGTCCTAGCTTATCTTGTCTTTAACTTATGTCAAACAACAAAGTACACATCTTCAAGTTGTCTAATCTTAAGACATTTAATTTTAATAAGATAGTGACTGAACCGAGTTTCTCCGAGTCACACCGAGTTACACGGCACTATGCATAAAGTACCAATTGTATAGCACTAGATTGATTAAAGCATATTTATTACAATAAACAAGTGGTGGGCAAGGTTCGTCTTGTTGTTTGGGTTATAATGACTATGGACTTGCACGAGCCAGCACGGATATGAAGGTACTTAAGTAGAGTACCGAACATATTATTATATAACAAATCAAATATCTTTCAACCTTTACAACTTTCGTTTCGTAGAAAAATATCATTCTCTGTCTGACTGCTGGCACAGACAGTACAGACAGTTGTTAGGGGAAAAGAATGAGGCAAGAGGAAGTGTGAGACTCTTACTGACTAAAAAAGCCGCCATTATTCCTTCTCTTGTTCTAGCGCCTACCCCACAACCCCGCGCCACAAAGACCAAATAGATCACAGTATGCGGAGAGCTACATTAGGTACGACGAACAAGAAAAAAAATTGATCTTTATAAATGCGACATAGCAACAGTGAAAACATTTTAAAATGGTGTCAAGCCAGAATAGGATTCGGTGATACACAGAACATTCGTAGATTCAGTCGCATCATACACATCATCAGCCTATAAGGACCCACTGCTGAGCAAAGGCCGCTCTTGACACACGGAGAAAGTTTGTGCATTATTCACCACGCTTGTTCAAGACGGTAAGTTCAAGACGTCTACCTAATCTTGAGTGCTTAGCGGCTTCTGACAGTCTGATACTATCATAATACCGTAGCCATGTTTATTTTTATGTTTAAATAGTTTATCTTGTGTTTATCATTGTCTATCAGTTCGGCTGTGCTATCTTCAAATAGAAACGTGACTTTAAAAAGTTTGAGAAACTGATATCACTACTGCAGTGAATCGTTATAACAAAATATTTGGTTTTGAAAGATAAAGTGTTTAGTAAAAGAGAAATGTTATTGATAAGGTCTTCATTTCTTATTCTGGTGGGTTCATGTTTGTTTGTTTAGGGTATAGTTTGTGTTATCAGAGTTTAAATTGAGTTCAGAATCATGGAATTTCTTTCTGACCCATTTGTACACCTGACTCGTTTCTACAGCGAAATTGTGGACACCTGTTACTCCAGTGTTGTAAACAACGTAATATATTTTTACTAGCTGACCCGGTACATAAATAAATTATCTAATCTCAGACCTATTGAATGTTTTACGAGAATTTTATACATATGAGAAATATTAGCCTAATTTGTTTTCGACCGGAAAGGAGAAAAATCCTACGTGTATTTAAGTTATGGTAAGACAGACACAAATAAGTGCAAGCTTACCTGACAGCAGATTTCGGTATGGATCCATAGATAAGCACACTAAGTCCTCTGTATAGGCCGAATACTCCATGAGATTTAACAGTCTTCTTGATGCAGTCACCGATGCCTGTGTACTTCTTGGAACCTCCTGGAAGATGAAGAGGAATAATTTAGTTGTTTTTATGCATGACAAATTCTCTAGATCTGCCCCAAAACTGGGACAAGCTGTCAGACCGTCATCAGTAGAGTATCCTTGAAATTTTCGGTACGAGCAGAACTACGTTCCTGGAGCTGAACTCAGCATAGGGATTATGGCTAAACCCTTCTTATGAAGTACCTAAGTGTTTTCCTTATACTAAGGAGGTAGGATTGCGGTCTTTGGGAATACATGTGAGGGTCTACAGCCATTTGTGCAGGGATCCGGTTAGACAACTCTATGTAAATGAGTACAAAATAATTTGATAATACTTAGTCAAATTTTTAGTCGTAAACTTGCTATCACTACGTAGTTTAAAACAAAATCGCTTTCTGTGTCCTTATATCCCTACATATATATGCCTATATCTTTATTACTAAGCATCGTTTTTTTGTAGTTTTTATAGATGGAGTAATTGAAGATGAAGGTTTTTATGTATCATCAATAAAATTTTGAGTGTCAGTATGTAGTACCAATGCGAAGCAGGTCTTGCTAGTTGCCTACTAAAACAAGGCAAAAAGAACACTAACAATATTGCCGCCATATTCCGATATAATGCATTTTATGAGTATTCAAATGTTTTTGGCTACAAAAATCCATCTGGACTGGATGAAGTCGAAAATTGGTTCAGTGGAATATTTTCAACGTGGATAAACATACTAATAGATATTTTATTTTTAGGATGTGTATTCCGACGCAGACGAAGATAACTGTTATTTTTAAATTAAATGCTTCGCTGCACTACGCGTTGCGTTGGTTCAAATATATAAACTTTTCTTTACGATCTGGTGCAATGAGATTAACAGTTTTCAACGGAGATGTACTTAATTGGAATTAAATGATAATTTCCTAAATAAGTCATTTTTTCTTGTTAGGTAGACGTACACTCAATCATTCTTTTTCTAAGGTTCTCTCTTATAATTAATTTATGTCGACCAACATAAATTTTCTTTATTAGTGTGGGGTGTCAATCAAATCTTCCGCCCAGGGTGAGGCGAGAGTGCCAGACTCTTATTGACTAAAAATCCCCCCCCCCCCACACCGTCCCTTCTCCTGCTCTAGGGCGAGACCACGGTGCTGTATTGCATTTGCCCCGCAACCCCGGCTGTTATTAATGTGAACAAGCGCGATCTTTTTCAGGAAACGAGGTAAACGACCGGACGAATCACCTAGGAAATAGAATAGGTGGCGAATAGGTGGCGAAAAATGTGAGACTAGAGCGAGTTTTATTTTATGCTTACGTGATCGAAACCTTATCGCGTTTAGGTCTGTGATTGGTAAGTTAGCTTGAAGCAGACCAAAGCGCCGTCTTTACGTAAAGCAAATTCGCCCTAGGCATTCTGGTGAGAACTAAATGATCAGTGTGATACCGACCTTTTAAAAAGAATAGGTACGCATCATTTACGATGACAAAGGTCTATAATTATAATGTTAAGCTTTATTTTGTCCGGGGAAAATCATTAAATGATTTTTCCTGGCCAGTGTAAGGCGAGAGAGAGTGTCAGACTGACAGACTCTTACTGACTAAAAACTCCGCCGAGGCTGCAGTGCCTCATTGCGCTTGTACCGCAACCTCGGCTAGTTAATGTTAAGCTGAGTTCTCAAATTTTGACAGCCTGCTTATAAGCATTCAAAACTTTAAAGTGAGGTTGTTAAGATCTAAATTAGCTAAAATAAGAAAGTTTGCCTTTTCGAGGAAAATGATGAGTGCCATTACATTTTTGACACGAACTGTCTACGGTCAAGGCTGTATTCAACATGAACCGTATGTATAGGTACAGTATGTTACACATGCCATAGAATCACGTAACATCGTAACATAATCTAAATAGTAGTAGTTGACCGTGGCCGAGTTATATTAAGGTTAAACTGTTCATTGGAGTTAGAGAAATAGTGTTTCTATGTTCTAAGATAGAAGAACTGAGATTTCTTCTACAAGAGACAGCCAGAAGATGTCTTTTTTATTACAAAGACGAAATCAGGCGCAGACTGTTTTTATTATACTTTTGGAAAATGGTTGAAATTCTTTTCCGAAGAATGTTTTCAGTCCATAATTCGTGTAGAATTGAGAATTTTGTGCGAATCAGTAGTGCACGGTTAGCGCAGTAGACAAATGATGTGTTTGTGAAATTTTGTGTTGGTAAACGCACCCACGACACAGGAGAAAACGTACTAAACGCTTGGAGGATCGCATTTAACAAATAGTTACTATACTTCATAGCAATAGTTTCGTTATTTCATTCCTTCTTTCAGTGTTAATCTAACAGATAAGACAATATTATTATTTATGCCTTGGATCTTGCTATCGTGCACGATATGAAGTTAACATGACAACAACTGATAAATATAGTGGATAACAGTCAAAACACCTAATATTTGTAGCAGGATACTGTTAATTTTCTATGCTAACATACATATTTTCCGTTATTACTCGTCACTTAAGACAATTAACATATGTATAGTCTCCTATAAAATATTAATCGAAATTGATGCAATCTTTATGTATTGTATTAGATGGTCGTTTAAGCGACTAAGAAGAACGGGGTATTAAAAATTATGTCGCGATGAGAAAAGCTTTACATAAATCGCAAAATTCTTAGCAATATTTTATTATATTGCTAAGAATTTTGTAAATAACAATATTTATTATTGCTAAGAATTTTGTCTAGGAATTGGAAACAATCAATAAGGTAATAATCTTTATTGAGAAAATATAAAATGGTCTAAAACAGAATTTAAATATGCGTACATTAATTCATGCTAAACAGCGATAGGTAGAGAACTGTACGTGCACCAACAAGAAATTAAAATCGTGACACAAATTTAAGACCCTATACATACCTATATCACATTTTTCAAAACATACATAAAATTTTGAAATTGTAACCTTGTTTTTCTTATTAGATCTATTATTAGTGGTAGTTGTACGGTCTTATTGAATTTAATTATGTGTACTTTAATTCTACCCTTTTTTAATGGATAGCGCATCCAAAATGGTGCTTGAGAAAGCATTATTAGACAAGATAAATAGATCCGAAGACAGATTAAATGAAATATATACTTGTATAAAACTTTTTACCAAACTTAATATTTATGTTTAGCGGCTTACTGAAACCTTAGTTCATAAGCTTGCTAACTTATTATAAAATTCTACTAAGTTTTCATAAATTTTGTCGTATTCAATTACCTAAATGATTTATTATCATACCATTTACTTATATTACCTTTGCCACCATTTACATATAGACTGATAAGAAAAAAAACCAAAACAAAATAATGACACTCATGCCTTATAAATGGGTAAAAAATATATTATGAACAAGAATTTTTCTCTTTAAAAATGTGCATATTTGATTTCAATTTAGCTATTATTGTAAAAAGTAAGATAGATAAATTACAATGGTTATTTAAATTCAGATAGGCATTTTTATATTCTTCTTGATCAAAATTATAATAAGTTATACCTTCTATTTAAAATCAAGAATCAAAGTTTATGCTCTATTTATCTGTTTGTAGTTTGATTACATTTAAAACAAGTTTGTCTGAGACAATGGACAAGGTAATTAAATTCTAATTAGAAACTTGTCAGTTTGAACCTTTAGCAACTATGGTAAACTTTAAAACCACATTCTACTGCATAGTTTAATTAAAATGTAGACACTGTCTTTTAAGAATTTATAAAGTGCTTGTAACATGTACAAAAGGAATCTGGTTTGAATTTTCCATTATTAAGAATTTCCACTTTAAAAAATTTATTATTATCCAATCCAGTGTTTGCAGCTGGAACCTTGCTATAGATCTAGATGGCGCTTACGACCTATCGGTACTTGAGACCAGGGAGACATTCTTATATGAATATTATTCAAAAGTTATAAACTATCATCAAAAGGCAAAAATATTCAAATAATGAAGTCTTCAAGTTATTAGTTAGTAACAAAAGGTCAGTTCAACCGCTTGTTGTTTAATAAATTGAGGTAAAAACAAAATAATATTATTTACAAATTTGGCGCTATTGGAAATAAATCGGTATCTAATGAGAACTGCTCCGTCATGTTAGATAGTCTAGTTTGGCGTCAAAGGAAACAGCCTTGAATAATAGAATTTTATTTGCCTGTTCTGACATAACATGTAGCGGACCAAAGTCCAACGTAGGTACGAAATATTTCCTACCGCTGGTGAAGTGATATCGAACGATCAACTCGAACAAATACCTATTTTGTTTCCGAACATCCCAAGGTTATCTAACCTAACAATTCATTAACGAATTCCAATATGAATCTTCTGTAATTCATGATAGTTTATAACCGGAAATAAATTAATATCGGACTAATATTAAGGAACAAAAATAACAAATGAAGACCGTCCGAGCAGTATTTTTAGCTAATAGTTTTTATACCTGCCGCACGATGTTTACAAATATGATAGAAGAAAGCACGACCTAAATTATCGATTTGTGAATGAAATTAATTAATTTTAAAAATACAAATACAGTAAGCTTACCTTTTTCGTCTAATTGCAGCTGTGTTTTTACATATTCCGTCGGGAATGTTATACAAATTTCAATGCCACCAGTTATGCCGCCGGCCACAACACCTTTCAAACCCTTCGCTTTTTCGCCAGCCGCAGCCGCTGCGCCAGTTTCCGACATCCATGGCCTAGAGAATGGATTTTTGAATGCTACAGGTCTATTAGACATTATTATTTCTTTTTAGGCACTTGTCGTTTACGACAGCGGCTGCGTCGACTTCCCCCTTTGACACTATTTCCGAAACTAATGGGAAAATGGAAATGTTTTGGATTTTCGAGGTAATTTCCACCAAAGTGTTGTCAGCGTAAATTATAAATTACCAATATAGAGTTAGTCAGTTTTCAACGAAAAGTCTTTCTGTTTATTTGAATTAATCAGACAAGTTAATTAGGGATATAAGAATATGCTATGCGTTTTTTATCTACACATATAAATAACATGTTAAGGGATAATGAGCGGTTACTGCTATACTAGACTAGTAGTCTATAGTCAGACTTTTAATTCGATTCCTGATTTGACATTGACCACTGTCATTTTGTGAAATAATGATACCACATATAACAGTGTAGTGATGGACAGTAAAATCGATAAACAATCAGTGAATCAGTTTCAGGACGGCATTCAAAAAATTACGGCTACCGAATGGTCTAAATGTGTATCCCATGTTTTCAAAGAAGAGGAAAAAATGAGTAAGCTAGATATGTTAATTGACAATAAATATCAAAGACACAATTCATAATAAATGTTACATAGAGTAACGGCGATAGCGATAGCGATGACGGCGACAATTTATAAAATGTCTGTTTTATTTGTCACGTTCCTTCATGATCACATTTTTTATTAATTTCACACACAATTACAAAAGAAAAGTCTCAGATCGTTAATTAATTGTCAAAACTAAATTATCGGTTCAGAAATATTTTATTTCCTGATAAACTTAGTTTATAAGAGTAAATTTATAAACGAGAGAAATCGATTCAGAAATATTCGATATCCATATCGAATAATTTCGCAACGTCACTATTTATTACGTGTCATAACGTTGCAACACTGAAATTGTCAAATCTGGAATGGAATTAAAATTCCGAGTATAGTATTGTATTCAGATTAAGTTTTCCAAATAAAGTTTTTATAACTTTATTTTATTTCAATGTAATAATAACATAATTAGTTTTATATTTTCTAAAATGCAACTTTCCTTAGTGACTGATGAACCTTTGTGATTCCATTTAATTTTGGGTTCAGCTTATCTAAAAGATGTAATCTCATTTTGTGATGGCAACATTTTGCTGTAATCTGTGGAAGACGCTACAAGTTTTTGACATCTTTGACAACGACGAAAAGATTTCATTCATTCATTCATTCGTTCCATGTCATTCTTATTATCGATAACGCTTTCAATGGTTCTAGCGTTTTAGTGAAATTTTACAATATTATTTTAGTTTCTTTTTAGTTGGAAGCTAAGAAAAGACGTAAAAATGGCTTTGCGAACATACGGCGATAAGCCGATAAGCTTTCAAATTGAAGAGGGAGGAGAATTTTACTGTGTCGGCTCAGAGGTTGGTGGCGTACATTTTGTTTATATTTGATGATTTCAGCTAGATTTCCAATCTAATATCATAAACTACATATATTAGTAGTGAAGTGTTATTGATTCGGTTCATTAGAGTATGGCTCTCATTAATATTTTCGAATTAACGTCACCTAAACTTCAATATCTTGTATTGTGTCGCCCTCATTTCCCCTTCCCCTCAATGTGTATCTTGTTGAAATAGAACCTCATAATAATGTAAACTATGAACAAATATAACGATAGACGGTACAGAAAGTTCCATGCTTTTTCAGGTCGGCAATTACCTGCGGTTATTCCGTGGGTCTTTATACAAAAAGTACCCTGGTATGGCAAGGCGTACTCTAACCAATGATGAGAGGAAACGTCTTATTGACAATGGCCTAGGAGCTCATGTACTCTCCAGCTCAGTATCACTCCTCAAAGCTTCTGAGGTGGAAGATATAATTGAGGGCAACGATGATAAGTATGTGTACGTTTTATGATAATTTCCCCCCATTTAGGTATGTTATTAATGATGATCTGGTATCAACATTTTGGTAAGTGTTGAGGATCATCAGCAATTATCATCATCATCATCATCATTTGCATAGCCACTTTATGTTCAAGGTTTTTTTGTTGCTTTGGATTTGGGATTGGTTTAACCTTGGTATGAGATTTTACAGAGAGGGCTTCCTAGATAAAAATTACATAGTACAGCAAATTATTCTCATTTCTTCATAATTTTAAATTCCATGCTTCCATCAGGGTTGTGGATCTTCATTACACCTTTACATGTTATGTTATTGGTATTCTGGTTATAATCACTATGACATTTATTGGTTTTCAAGATAACCCATGGTAGTGGCCTTATAAACACTTGACTTCATCATAATACACTTACCCACTTCATAAATGTAGTAACCAGTTGAATTTGGACACTGTTATTATTATTATTTTATTAGAACAAAAAAAAAAATCTAAATATAACGAAAACAAGTTTCCATATCAGTTAATAAAATAATGAAACCATTAGAAACAGTTAAAAAAAAAACTATGTTGGGGCTGTCTATGGGTCTAAGGTAGTAGATATGTTGTTTGAAAAATTAAGCTACAATACATATTTGAAAACTGGTTACTCTATGCATATTTTCACTACTAACACTTCCCTTACCAATTCTACCTTTTTCTAATCTCATTTCTAAACTCCCAGGTATAAGGCAGTGTCGGTAAGCCAAGAGCTAGCAACCCCAAGGGAAAGCAAGAGTAAGAAGCCACATAACCAGTCATGGTTACCAGTGATGCCAAACTCTTCTCATTTGGATGCAGTACCACAAGCCACTCAGATTAGCCGAACTAGGGTTCATAATAAGAAGGTATGTTTTATCTATATTATTGAGCTTCCAATACTCCATATTAAGGCAGTTAATAGTAAAGCTTCTAGATTATGAATAAAAGCAAATTTATACAAGGTAAGAAATAGTTTTCAAACTAACTTGTCATAAAATCACAAACCCAAGTCACCATCAGCACAACCAATAGCTATGCCGACACCCACTACATGAGCAGGCATAAGTGGGTGCAAGCGCAATAATGTACCGTGGCTCCAGCTTGGTGTTTTCAGTCATCCCATCCAGTATATGAGTAGTCATTTGATGATTTTCCTCTTCATTGGAGATAGATATATAAAAAAGGTTTTTATTTTTTGTACGATATTATACCTGTTTACTTTTGTCTCAGTACTTAACTTTGTTCTCTTGTTTCAGGTCCGCACATTCCCACTATGTTTTGATGACACAGACATGACAGCGATGTTAGAGAACTCCTCACAGAAACAGATCTTGGTGCCCATTAGACTGGACATGGAAATAGAAGGACAGAAACTGAGAGATACTTTCACTTGGAATAAAAATGGTAAATACCTAATTATCCTTGGCTATTATAATTGTTCGCCTCGCCGCTCGCGCGCCGGCGGCAGTGAACGAGGGACGCGCGGGCAAGGGGGCCCGCCGGCCGATCTACAGTCCAGCCCGCAGCTCGCTATATAACAGTCAGCTGCGGCACGCTCGGACACACAGCTGCTTCGCATTTTTGTTTTAACTATATAATTGATTCCGTGCTTATTTACATTTTTTATATTATATTATACAGTCCACTAGTGAGTTCCTCATTTATAACTCTGACCACTAGCTATCGTCGGCAACAATAATATTTTCTTTTTTTTTAAGTTGCTTCCTACTAGGATTTTTCCTGTGTTGGGTGCGTTTATAAATTTACCACCACCTAGACCCAAAAAACAAACAATTTGTTAATCACACAAAGTGGTCTTCCGTGGGGAATCGCACACGCGACTCATTGCACAGCAGCCAGTTGTCCAGTCACTGCCAACTGTGTAGTCTCTGCATTATTCATAGCTTAACCCGGAGGACAGCTATGGTAATATCTCTGCTTACAGACTTCGCGTCATGGTATAGGTGCCAGCAAGCTATAAAAAAGTACTAAAGAAATATTTATTATTATTTTAGGTTTAAATATATATATATTTTCTGAAATAAAGTAAATAAATCCATATTTTATTGATCAAAACATTATTTCAACTTTCATTGCATTTCAGAATCAATAATAACTCCAGAGCAGTTTGCAGAAGTTTTATGTGATGATCTGGAACTGAACACCAGTACATTTATACCAGCGATTGCTTCGTCCATCAGACAGCAGATAGATGCGTTCCCAAGTGACCCACCCGCGATTTTGGAAGAGCAGCCCGACCAGAGAGTTGTGATCAAGCTGAACATACATGTGGGAAATACTTCACTTGTTGATCAAGTTAGTATTATTTTGGTTATAAAATAGATTGTTTTACAAAACATATAAGTTTTGTTTTGTCTTAAACAAGGTCAGGCAATATAACTTCTTGTGCTTCTTTAGATTTTCCAATCACTTCATTTATTTTTATGTAAATAGGCCATCAAACAGCAATAAAAATATAAAATTAAAAATCGCCATTTCCTATTTGACTACTCTGAGAAGAACTTTACTGTCGAAATAAACTGAGAGGTTTTTTTCTAGTCCAGATAACTGTAAAAATAATAAGGGGGAAAAATTATCTTTCTAGTTCTTGTTATTATTCACCTTCGAAGGTTATATTTTGGTAACTTATTTGAGTGTTTTCGGTAACATTGTTGATTGAATTTGAGAGAAATTGGCTTTGACTGATATCGACGAACGTCACGCACGTGCGAATGTTTACTTACCATCAGACAAGCTTTCTGCTTCATTGTCTGCTGTACGATAAACAAAAACAAGCATAACTGATTACTAATACGTCATAATTTTTTTCAGATTGAATAAACTAATCATTATTTATTTTTAATTCAAGGTCGAATGGGACATGTCAGAAAAGGAGAACAATCCGGAACAGTTTGCGATGAAGCTGTGCGCTGAACTGGGTCTGGGCGGAGAGTTTGTGACTGGGATAGCGTACAGTGTACGTGGACAGCTGAGCTGGCATCAACGGACGTATGCCTTCAGTGAGGCACCACTGCCTGTTGTTGAGGTCAGTTTATGAAAATTAACTTATTTGGTAGACTTTTAACCTCTTTTGAACAAATCCTACTTATATTATAAACGAGAAAGTTTGTAACTGTGGACTGATGTTTGTTACTTTTGCATGTTAAACTGACCGGGTCTGAATGAAATTGGGCACAGATATAGATATAGGCATCTTAAAAATGACACATTACTAGAGGCTACTTTTTA